CTGCATTTCTCCGCTAAGTTCAGCAACACACTTACTTTGGTTTTGTGACTAAAAGCAGCTCAGAGACCATTCAGCTAATAACATATTCAGCTTTTTCTGCATTTTCAGCTAAATTCAGCAACAAATGTACACAGTTTACAGCATTCACACGCATTTTCTGCAGGAAATGCATTTTCTAGTTCCATTTTCACTTTCATTATACACACATATTAGAGCTTTCTCCATTTTCATTCAGCTCAATCTGCAAAGCCAACTCATAGAAAGATAACAGGAATGTGAATAATACAAATTTAAAATAAATAAATAAGTGGAAACATAATCCAAAAGAATAGATAAGGGAAAAAACAAGATAATATAGATTCTTCTTTTTTAAAAGGCCACTTTGGTCAGGATGTTGAGACCCTGGAATGGTTAGGAAGATGTAGGGAATCGAGATGGAGCGTATTTTGAAAGCACTAAACACTTCTAGCTAGGGCATGTCTCCTTATCCTTTCTTTTATTAAAGTAAAATAGTACACTTATCTAATAAAACATACATGTTTCATTTGATGGTTACATTTCGTTTTATTAATCTGAATCTGCAAATTAACTAGTGACTAAAGTTATAAAACAAACGTAGTGGTCACAGTTATTGTCCTCTGAATTGTACTGGGCTAATATAATTAAGTAGAAATGTAATTACCTCAAAATACAACTTAAGTACAATTCTTTAAATAAATGTATAACATATCTTGAAGAACCATTTCTAGAAGAAGTTGATTTAAAATGTGACATCTTTTCCCTCTCACACAGACAAAAGGAAACGCATGAAGAGGAGGAACCTGCTCTGACAGAGGAGGTGAGTGTGTGTGCTTCTCTTCTGCTTAGCGGTTTTTATTTTTTTTAACTTATTTTATGGTTAGTGAGCTGAGCTTGTGATTTTTGTATTTCATTTCTTTCTTTCTTTGTACAGCACTGTGGACCCTCAGAGAAAAGGGTGACCTTTAACCCCAACGTGCAGGAGCGCCCTCTGATCCCCGCCAACGAGCCCGTGACGCTGAAGGAGGCGGCCGACATCGTGGTCCGGTACCTCGACCCGTTTTACTCCAAGGGGAAGTTTGCCACCAAGGTAAGAGGGAGAGATAAACCCACAACAGCTCCTCTCACTACCAGCCTCATAGTTTAATTTACCCAGACTGCACTCTGTTTGGCTTTTTCAATAACCCTAAATATTTAAAATCCTCATTTAATTTGATATAAAACTGCTTTGCATATCATAATGTATAAAGTAGCCTGTTATATTTTTGGGAGTTTTGTCTAGAGCAGGGGTTCCCAAACTGTGCCATGCCAAGGACCCCAATATAGCATTATCCTCCGGCGGGGACCCCCCTGTTGCAATTTTTTTTTTTAAATGATGAGTACATTATGATGGAAAATATGACAAATTAATCATACAGATTAATATATATTTGT